AAATTCTTTCATAATGGCGATCCCAATAATTTTATCAAACAGCAAGCACGGGATCAACTCAAGAAAGAATTATGCGATGAGAATCAGATTGCCTTGAGGTATGTTTGGTATTACGAAGACCCATATATAGTTATTCCAGAGCATCTTCGAGAATTGGGTCTCATTAAATAAACTCGAAACTTTAAATACTAATTGGTAGGTATTACAGTATAGAAAATCACTTTTTTTAATCAACTGAAAAAGCTTTTATTGTTTTTATTATATGATTGTTTATTATGAACTGCAAAGAGAAATATATCAATAAAAGTATTCATAATTTATGTAAGATCAATATTTTCGAATCAGTCCAAGATGCCCACATATTACAACCATTTTTAACATCAATAAAGATCAATCCAACTGGAGAAGAGCGTTTGCGTACGAAAGTCGCGAAGGTCTTTGTTCAGCTCTTGCATCATCAAAGGATGCTGTAACACCACGAACCAATAGCTAAATTTATAATACATAAGATTAGTGGAAGTTTAATATAATAACGTAAATCCACACTAATACATACCGCCCATTTTAATACACATTCATAGAAATAAACGAAATATTTCATTTCAGAAAATTTCCGAGGAAGATTGGCATTATCAATCTCGTTTAATCTATACGTTCCTGAATTAATATTTAGTAACAAATCATCAGTACATTCTTACAGTGTAATTTTTCAATAGAAAGAAAACACATACCACAATGATCAAGAAAATATAAATATATCCGAAGACGAAAACTCTGGCCACCGAATACGTACAACTTCTTTGGTAAACGTTGCCTGCTTTTGATTGTTTCCTTTACAATATTCGCGAATATATTCTTTAAGTTTTCTGTTATTTTTTTGACATCATCGATTTCCTTTTTATCTTTTGTTACTGGTCTCGAGCCTTCAACATAAATAAGCTGATACTTATCAGAATCTATCATGTAACCAGCTCCATTAACACGATTACCATTAGTGTAATTTTTTGATGGGATCTCGCCATAATCATAATGTATACCTGTAATGTACCATAAAGAAGCGTCAAGACATGGGTGAACGAAAGCATTAAGATGCGCATGTTCTATTGTGGCAATATTTAAAAGTGGGTTCTGTTCTTCGAGTGAAGATGCCTTAATACTACACAAAAGAAAGAAACATTCAGAACAGAATCTGAAAAAATAAATCAATATGATGATAATGACTACATACAATTGTGGCAATGTACGACGTAAAATTCGTACCACTGCATTCATTATAAAATCATCTTTTTCTGGTGCTTTTAAATCATCGATTTGGTAATTCCACTCCTCGGTTGTTAAGCTTTGTGAAAAAAAAATTACGAGAAATTCATGAACATTTGCGGGGACCAACGTCTCTGTCATGGTATCCATTTCCGTTAGATACGATGTTGCTATTTGCCTTGAAAGTTTTTTTAAGAAGGGCGATTTCAGTCGGAGGTCAATTAGATCGCCATCAGGGTATTGCGCTTTATAAATCGTAAAAATTTCTTTTGATGCGTTTGAGCGTTCAGTATTTCCTAAGATGTCTGCTATCTGGTAGAAAAAAATCAAAGTGTTAAACGTCTGTTGGTTTAAAGTGCATTATTAGATAATTACTTACAATATCATCTTGAATAGTTCTTTTCTCATCATTTCCTTGGGAGAGATTTTCAAAAGAATACTCGGTCGTTGCTTCCTCTTCGTTTTCTTGAGAGGGGTTTTCATCTGTGTATGTAGTTTTTTTGGAGGAAATCCCGACATCCGTACCTGTAAGTAATCCACGATAATCCGGTACAACTACTCTCCCACTTCTCGTTCTTTTTTCAGATTTAGTTTTGCACTTGTTTATGAGGTGGAAAGGTAAAAACGTCAATTTGTTATTTTTGTCATAAATGATTGTTGATGTTCAGCTATACATTGTAAAGGAATCAATACGTTAATAGAGTCACTTAATCTCACCTTTTTTGCCGGAATTGTAACTCCTTCAGTACTCATCTTTTCTTCATCATCATCCACATCTCGACGATGTTTCCCCTGACGATTATCGTTGTATGTTGCTCCATCTCCGGTTGAAAATTGGTTTACCTGTTTTACCTTCATAAGATCGACTTTGATTCGTGCACAATCTTTTTTGAAGTTCTTTATTGATGCAGTCCAGTTCTTGACAAAACAAAGAATAATTAGCGTAATTTTAGAAATATTAACAATAACAATATAGAGTTAAGGATATAGAGTAAAAGGAGCATTGGACTAAGGGCCCTGTCCTTGTAAGACTTGAAGTCCCAGGTTGCACTAAGCGTCGAACTTGAAGTTCATTACTGGAGAACTAAAGTCCCAGCTTGCGCTAAGTGTCGAACCTAAAGTTCATCACTTTTCAGACAAAAAGCTCATTTACTCTATCAGAATGGTACTTTTCAGTTATACAGAATTTCCTGAGCTTTTTTCTTCCTTGTCGCGTCAAATCCAGGAATAGAATTTGCAATATCTCGAAGATCTTTATGTATAAAACCCAGCGCTTTTTTCAAACCCTTTTGTTCTACTTTTGTACGGTAAAAGCCTATCACGTTGAGGCACGTCCAATCTTCAATTATATTGTCGAGATAAAAATTGAGGCGCGTAGACATGTTTTGCAAATAGGCTCGAAATAAAATAATCATTCATTTATTTTTATTGTTCTACAAGTCACGGGTCTGAATATGTCATAAGCGCAGTAACAAAATCCTCTTCACGTGACTAGTGATATATTTATTCGTACTTATAATGAAAAGATAACCGGACGCTATACCGATGATGTAAAAAATGCATCAATGGTCATTAATAGCTATCTCCGCAAAAAGGGTGAGTTTGTTGTA